TGACTCTCAAAAACTCTTTCTAGTAGAGTGTTTGGAATCAAGAATATGAATATAGAGAAAACAGGTCTACCCCACAAAATAGCTTTGTGGGAGGGAGGTTAAGGGTGGACTTTATTTTAGAAAGAGTGGGAGGGAGGGAGTGGGAGAGAGAGAAGGAGATAAATATCGATTGGTTGCCTCCTGCTCAAGCCCTGATCAGGTACATGCCATAGACCACCCATGACCCTTTGGTCTGCAGCTGACGCTCTAACCACAGAGCCTTACTGGCCAGGGCAAAGGTAGACTTCTTAGAAGCTTCCAGCTCAGAGAAGCCACTTCTCTGTGCCACTATGGATATGCAGACACTAAGTAGATAATCGCTAGGTAAAAGATGGTATGGGGGTGATGCAAACACCACTGTAGGGTCAGATCCTTAGCCAGACCAAATAGGTATATAAATGAATCCAGCACACCGGATCTTCCAATTTTTCAAGACAAGCTAAAAATCCAGATTATTTAGGTGAAATTTCCCACTTTTTAAAATGTTGGGAACATTAAAAAATTCTAAAAATGTCATATAGGCCAAAAAAACACAACTACTAGATTTGTCCTGCAGGCTCTTTTGGAGGAGAGAGCAGTGGACAAGGAGTTAGGGACAGCAAACTGGTTTCTGGCAGCTGCTAGCTGGCTGAAGGGCCTTGAGAACTTCTGCTCACTGGGCTTGAGAGGGGATTGGCGTCCTCCATCTGACGAAGGCTTGCCACATCATCTAGTCCCCAAAGTTCCTCCCATCTGATTCGCTTATGCTGGGTCTTTGGCAATTGAAATTTCCTTAGGTCAGATTCGGGTCATGGGAAAAGTGTCCAAATGACTAGGATGGACAGAGATGGGGCCCAAGGAAATGGATCCATCAGGGACAAAGTTCAACCCAATTGCCTCTGGTCCTAATACTTGAGTAAGCAAAAGTAAGAGTGATTCTTTCGTCCTGTCCTGATCATGTAGTCCAAATTGGATGGCTACAAAATAAAGGCCAAACCAGGCCGTCATGAGCTAACTACATCTCACTCTGTGGCTTCTCTCCCTACTTCCTTCAGTCCAGGACAGCTTTTTTTCTGAACACATCCTGCCCTATTACTACTCTGTCATTCCTACAACTACCACCAGTATCCCCCATGTTCTCTGTAATTTTGTTGCCCCTTTCTGCCCAAAAGTGCAGTCTTGTTTCTAAACTCAACACATTGTTATTTGTAATTATATCATTTTGCAACCCTGATGAATTAATCTAAATCTGCAGAGTCCAATACGACAGCAATTAGTCACATGTGACTATATTAAAATAAAACTGCCCTGGCCGATTTGGCTCAGTGGTTAGAGCATCAGCCTGCGGTCCCAAGAGACCCGGGTTCGGTTCCCGCTAGGGGCATGTACCTTGGTTGCAGTTTGTCCCCGGCCCTGGTTGGTCGTGCGGGTGGCAGCCACTCGATGTGTCCCTTTCACATCGATGTTTCTCTCTCTTTCTCTCCCTCCTACTCTATCTGAACAAAAAGTGTCCTCGGGTGAGGATAAAAATAAATAAATAAATAAATAAATAAAACTAAATATTCAGTTCTTCGGTCCACTAGACATTTCATGTGCTTGATAGCCACATGTAGCTAGTGGTTACTGTGTTGGACAGTGCAGAAACAGAACATCTCCATCATGGCAGAAAATTCTATTGGATAGTAGTACATTCTATTTTAGTCAATGATCAGTAAGGGGGACTATCAGACATCACAAAGAGGGACTAAAAGACATTATGTGCATCCTGATATGATGCGACAAGAAGTATACACTACCGCCTGGCTGGTGTGGCTCAGTGAATTGAGCATCCTTCCATGGATTGAGAGGTCCTGGTTTGATTCCCAGTCAGGGCACATGCTCAGGTTGTGGGCTTGATCCCTAGTGAGGGGTATGCAAGAGGCAGCCAATCAATGTTTCTATCTCTCTCTCCCTTTCTCTCCTTCTTTCTCTAAAATCAATAAAGAAAAAATAATAAAAGTATACACTACCACTTATGATATATAGTCTTACCAAAGGAAAAAAAAAATCCAGACTGAATCTGGTCAAGCCTCTAGATCTAACAACCAGTTTACAAGAAATACAAGAATAAAAGGAGCTTGTTAACACCACAGTGATGCAAATAGCAAAACTGAAGCTGTGGGAAATTCAACAGGACAAAGGAACTGGTATTTTTTGTTTTTTAATATGTTTTTATTGATTTTTTTTTTTTATTCTCACCCGAGGACATTTTTTTATATTTTGTTCAGATAGAGTGGGAGGGAGAGAGAGAGAGGGAGAAACATTGATGTGAAAGGGACACATCGAGTGGCTGCCACCCGCACGACCCAACCAGGGCTGGGGACAAACTGCAACCGAGGTACATGCCCTTAGCGGAACTGAACCCGGGTCTCTCTGGACCACAGGCCAACGCTGTAACCGCTGAGCCAAACTGGCCAGGGCTTTTTATTGATTTTTTAAATGAGATTTTTTTTATTAATTTTTTTTTAATTCCTTACCCGAGGATACTTTTCTATTTATCATCAGATAGAGTGGGAGGGAAGGAGGGAGAGAGACAGAGAGAAACATCAATGTGATAGAGCCACATCGACTGGTTGCCTCCTGCACAACCCGACCAGGGCCGGGGATGAACTGCAACCGAGGTACATGCTCTTGACAGGAATCGAACCCATGACTCATTGGTCCGTGGGCTGATACTCTAACTGCTGAGCCAAACTGGCCAGGGCAATTTTTTCTTCTTTATTGCTTTTAGAGAAGTAGGGAGAGGGAGAAAGAGAAACATTGAGAGAGAACATTGATTGGCTACCTCCTGCACGACCCCACCGGGGATTGGGCTCACAACCTGGGCATGTGTGACCTCTTGGTGCATGGGTCATTGCTCAACCACTGAGCCACACCAGCCAGCTTTATTGATTTTTTTGAGAAAGGGAAAGAAACATTGATCGACACGCCCCCTACTGGGGATCTAGCCTGAAACCCATGTATGTGCCTTGGCCAGAAATCGAACTGGGACTTCTCAGTCCATGGGACTATGCTTAATCCACTGAGTTAGTTCAGGCCAGGCTGAACTGGTGTATTTTAACAGATAAACTACAAGGGAAAGAAGAGATGGAAGAGGAATCTATGGATGTAATAGACTTGAGACATCTAACAGCAATATATGGATCTGATTTGGATCTCAATTAAAATAAACTATATAAAGTTATGAAACTAGGAAAATTTGAACAATGATTGGATGAAATTAAGGATTGTCTTTTTTAAAAGGTACATAAAATGGCATTTTGTTTTTTTTTTAAAAAAATCCTTGAGATACATATTGAAATAATAGATAACACATGACTAAAATTTGCCTCAAAATAGTCCAGGTGTGGGAGAGGAAGTAGTGTGAGGGTGGGTAAAAAACAGGACTGGTTATGGGGGTTGAATAATTGGTCTCTGGAGACTTTACTGTCCTATTCTACTTCTGTATATATTTTGTTTTCCATTGGAAACAAAATCCTGTTCTTTTCTTATTGGGTTTATGAGTTCCTGGAATTCCCTTACCTTTGCATTTCCAACTGTTCTTGGCACTAATCAACTTGATAACTATAGGTCAAAGTATAAGAGGGAAAAAAGAGCTCCATTCAGAGGGATATGTAGCTCTGTTGTGCTGGGAAGCCTGAGGCTGGGCCAGGTTTGTAACCTCACCTTCTTCCATCTCACATTCTGCTACTGAGGAACTTCTGTTAGGGGTCACACTCCCTGCCAGGGCAGGGCACCGGCCCTGTCACGAAACACGCAGAGATACTGACAGTTAATAACCTGGGATTGTACTCAAGGCTCTGACGGGCCACAAGCTTAGCTCCACTGTGGCAGCCTGCAAGCTTAAGATTCCGCATACTTGTCAGAACCAGTGTTGCCTGTCAGACAGGTCATACCTTGTGCAGGGCTATGTATGAGGCTATGGCTGTTTGAAGACTTTTACCTTCAGTGTGACATTCCCAAGGACACACAGGTACTTCCCAGAGGCCAGACCAGTGTGACTACTCCCTAACCTATCCCCCTGACCCATGACATAGACAAGAAGTCCACAGTTCACAATAATGTAAAACCATTTAATTCAAAATCAAATCACTTTCACAACAGTGAAAATTAGTGACTGGTCAAGGTGTGCCACTGTACATGGTATCATTTTCTGTCTGTGGCTGGGACCTGGTCCTGATCCACAAAGGTGACAGGAGTGGGGGAAGAGGCTAAGACAATAGAAAACATACACAAAAGAAAGGAAAACTGCCTTGGCGGGGGGCAAGGTAGTGAGCCTGCAGATGGGTGGAGGGGGCTGGGCCAGCAGTCCCAAGTCATCTCTCCTGCCCCAGCTCTTGACAGAGGATGAGTAGGGACCTATACGGTTCAAAATCAAAGGGCATGTGGCCAACCTGGTTTGCTATCAGGCTCCTGGGATACCTTTGCTGGTAAAGCTTTTCTGGGCTCACCTCCTGTAAGACTCCAAGTGATTATACTTTTGCTGATAGAGCTCTCCTGGGCTCACTTATTTCATTCAAAAGTCCAAGTGATTCATCTTCTTATCCACATCCCTTCTTTAACCTTTCTTGTGGAAACCCTGTATCTGTTGGGTCCATCTGACTAGAGTCGTCTCTGGTGGACTGAAGGAGCCCACCAGTCCTTTCCAGCTGAGAAACTCTAGGGACACCTCCCACTTTGAGGCTTTCTAGATGATAAAAAGATCCTTCTTGGGTGGATGCCCTGAAGATGTTTAAAATCCATGAGGCACACTGTAAAGCTGGTGGCTTATTCTTACCAAATGGATTCAGCAAATGAACCACTTACTCAATACTTATATTTTGTCTTTTAACACTGAACTCTGGCAATGATAGGTTACAAGGGGAAGGGTTGGGGAGGGGAGGAGGGCTTCCCCATCTTGGATAAGGTCTTGGTTTCCACATTCTATGTGGAGCCATGTCTGGAAAAAAAAAAAAGACTTGGTAGGGCTTTCTACCATTTGTTGGCTATTGCTGGAGGTAAGCCAGGAGTATTGTGGACTAGTGATATGACAGAAGCCCTAGAAGAAGACCATCTCCTCACCTTGGGGCCTCCTGGAATAGACTGGATTTCTAGGAAGTAGCCAGACAGGCAGAGCAAGAACCATTCCACCAAGTGAACTGTCCTCTTGCCTGGCCCCACACTCCCTCAATCAGATTTGGAAAGAGTCTGTGAAGTTGAAAAACAAATCAAGGGCTTGGGAAGCAAGATTTTCACAGAAAGACCACATCATATCACCATGTGGAGGTCCAGGCCCACTGCCTGACTTGAACACATCACCAGAGTTGCCCACTCTGGAGTTACATGCTTCCTTGGTTTTAGCACATATTCAAGGAGCCATACCAAAATGTAGGGTCTTCCCCCTTTCCTGCCTCTTTCTTCATTGAGGACAATCTGGCTTCTGAAAGTGGTCTTCAACATGCAGCTGGGCCGACTTTAACAAAGCCCGTTTCCTTTGGGCAGGTCTGGGAGAAGATGCACGTGGAGCTTCTGTAGCCTTGGGGACAGGGCTGCTTGTGCAGTTGTTCCTGCATCAGAACTCTGAATCCCAATGGAGTCCCAACTGCAGATCTTTCCTAATGCACAGCAGTCAGTCCTAGCTTCAGCAGTAGTCTAGGCTGTGTACCCTCTGGCAGAGAGGCAGCTCGTGTGTAGTTTTTTGAGGAAAGGTGATGAGATATCTGTGAGTGAAGCCATAGGTCTCCCAGGATAATCTATGCCAAAAAACAAGGTCATTCGAGCCACTCTCTGGGGCCAAAGATACAGAGTAAAGCCCAGAGCCAATAAAATGTCTTTGGGTCTCCAGTGAATTCATGATGTGACTCCAGCTTTAGGGGCTGCAATTATGATCTTTATAAGACAGTAATTTCTTGCATCTCTGCTGAGGAGGAGGAGGAAGAGGAGGAGGAAGAAGAAATAGGACAAAGCAGCATTGGGATCTGGAAGGGGAACCTCTCTGTATGAGGAGCCCCACTGACTTCAGAGGCCACAAATCAAGGGGTATTGAAATAAATGAAAGTTTCCATAAGTAACATTTGCTTCATTTCTTTGTTCTTATAAGATTAAACTTAGGTGAAATTGTACTGACAGTTTCTCTTTTCTGCATCTCCCCTGTGCAGAGTCAGGAGCTGCTGAGCTGGCCAGAATAAAATTTCATGTTATAACCCATGAGAGATGACTCAATGCCAAGGCCTGAGGTTAAAGCAGAATGTTTATGGCAGTGGCCATACTCCAGGGTTCTTGACAACTGGTCCTGAGTCCTAAAGCTCTGATGGAGAAGCAAGATTCCTTGATGTGTTACTGACCCCACTGATTCCAGGGGTCAGGATTATCAAGGAAGCCAAACATCAAGAGTGGGGGTGGTGTGTTACCAGTCCAGAGGCCCTGCCATGGATGTAGTCCAGGAGCCCAGTATTAGGCAATTAGGAGCCAGAACATGATCACCAGGGCCACAAACAGGAAGAGGCGTGACAGGAACTGCTCATCTACATACTGGGGCGTTCCGGGTACAGCTAGAGAGACACAAAGGAGAAGAGAGGATGTCAGCACGCTGCAGCTGTGCACACTGAATATTAGGGACAGAAGTATCAACCTTCGTCTCTTTATAACATAATCCTGCACACTAAAAAGATTTTCTTTTTTTTCTTTTTTTATCCTCACCTGAGGATATTTTTCCATTTTTTTGTTCAGGTAGAGTGGGAGGGAGAGAGAGGAAGAGAGAGAGAAACTTCAATGTGAAAGGGACACATGGAGTGGCTGCCACCCGCACAACCAACCAGGGCTGGAGACAAACTGCAACTGAGGTACATGCCCTTAGTGGGAACCGAACCCGGGTCTCTCCGGACCGCAGGCCGACTCTCTAACCGCTGAGCCAAACTGGCCAGGGCACTAAAAAGATTTTCAAACCCTAAATAATGTCAGGCAAAACAAAATTGGAATTATGAAAATATGTGGAATAATATAACAAGGACAAGGGTTCCAATTGATTGTAAGAGGGTTTGGACTATAAGTGAAAATAAGTCTTAGAACTCTTAGAGGAAATAATAAAAGAAAAGCTACTGTTTGTTAAGCATCTTCTGTGTGCTAAATGTTTTGCACACAGATTATTGCTTGGTGGACACTATTGCCGTTTTCTGTAAGAAGAAACCGAAGTTGGTTGTGAACACACAATACAACATACAGATGATGTATTACAGAAGAAACCGAAGCACTGTCTCCCAAGTTGTGGAGTCTCTAGATTCTGGCACTGTTGAACTCAGAGGGATCTCAGAGAGCCCCACATGGAGTGTCTTCCTTTTCCAGAGGAGAGAGCTAGGGCCCAGACAGGTAAAATGACCTGTTGTCCTCATCACACAGCAAACTAGGGGCAGAAGTGGGCTGGGAACTTGGGTCTCTCCTCTCTGCTTTGAGAAAAGCTGCTATGTAGATCTCCCTATCCTGACTATGGGGGAAGGAGAGTTCAGAGCATCTATATCCCCTATGGGCAAGCTATATCAAACATGATAAGAGAAAAAATGTCTGCCCTGGCCGGTATGGCTCAGTGGTTGGAGCGTTGGCCTGTGGACCAAAGAGTCCTGGATTCGGTTCCCGCTAGAGGTATGTACCAAAAAAAAAGAGAGAGAGAGAGAGAGAGAAAATGTCTGATTGTCTGATTGTGGTAGGAGGATAGAGATCCAGAGACAGCCTGTTTTACTGAGGAATCCAAGGTAAGCTTTGTATCAGGTTGGAAGGAAGGAAGCTACCAGGCAGGTTCTTACTGCCTTCATGGGGCCCTGCCTTTTGGGGTGTCTTTCCTCAAAGAAAACATATCAACAGAGGAGAAACCATTGAGATAGATAAGATAAGGAAGGGCAATCCCAAGATCTCGTGGTGGTGTACTATTCTCCAGTTAGATACTCTGATGGATTCATGCAGGCAAGCAGTCAACAAAGACTTACTGCTTGCCCGCTATGTTCCAAACACCAGGGTGGGGGCAGGGGACAACATGGATGGCCCAGGAGTGGGTCACTGTCCCTAGAGCATAAGCTCCTAGCCAGAACTATGCACTGGTCTCTACATGCCTAGCACACATGAGACTTCAAAGATTGCAAGCAAAGCTCACCTGACCTTGGCAGCCCTGCAGGCTCCATGGTTAAGATCCTGGCCTGGGTGTCAGACTGTGACAGAGTACAGCGCACCTACCTCGCCGCCCTGCTCTATTCCAAATGCAGCTGGCATTCTCAAGCTGACTGGAGGGAGAAAAGCAACAGCAGGTGGCAGACCTAGGCACAGTTCCCAAAGGGCTGGGGTTTGGGACCAGCCCCATGTGTGTCCTGAGGAAAGCTGGACAGAGATACCAGAGAATAGATAGGCCCTGACTCCTTATGGGTCACCCTGTCCTTTCTGGACCCCAAAAGTGAAAGTGAGGGGGGTATATGTGTGCAGGACTGGGCTTTTCCTCAGCTGGGTATGGTTTATACCTTTTCATTTTATGGACATGGGGTATGTTCTGGGAAACATGCATATTTTTTTCATTTGTAAAATGAAGCTAAATGCACATCTGTCCCATAGGCTTATCATGAGGATCCTGAGTTTGTAATAGAAAGCACTCTGAACATGCCCAATACTTGCTAAGTATGCATTAACCATTAGTATGACTACCAGTAATTTGAAGAGTTTAGCACATTTTGAAAAGGCTGATTATCCATGTAGTAACAAGTATCTATAACTTATATACTGCCAGATTCTAAGAAGACTTCAAGTAGGATTACCAAGGGAATAGGGTCTTACCTGGAGGAGGTCGCCCGTCATTTATGTTAAATGCTGTGGCAAATATTCCAAAGGGAAATGCCCCAATTCCAAAAGACATCTGGAAGCCACCATCTCCAAATCCAAATCCTTGAAATCCCTGTACAGAAGAAATGCAATTAAGAAGTAGAACAAACAGGTTTCTCCAGCAACTGTTAAATACATCACCTTACATATGGCACCCACCTCACCTCCCTACCCTCCATTGCCTGTTTCTAAGAGGGGACATCTTTTCCTCCCATCTAGATTCCAAGGCAGAGGAATCCTGGTGAGCCCTCTGCCCTTCTAGCCTACATGGAGTTCTAGCTAAGGAGATATGAATGCCACAAAGAACTGGTTCTGACCCAAAGTAAAACACTCTGCTGAAGCAAGTCAGGATTTTTAGAGCTCCAGATTCTTTCCCAGAGTCCCATGCTAGTCAGTAAAATTTTCCACATGCTTTGTAACAGCAAAATTGGTGATAATCCTTATGCCCAATAACAAGGTACATGCTACACATTATTGGTAATACCAAAAAGTAGAACCTATTTGCCAACAATGGAGGTCATGATAAAAATTTTAATGTATGCTCTCAAAGGACCATTACATGACAATATGTAGATATATGAACAAGATAAGTATTCTCCCTTAAAATTTTCTATTAATATTGTTAGAGAATTTCAAATATTTAAAATCCTTTATTTTTTTAATTATAAAAGTAATATATGCTTATTATAAGAAATTCACATGGAATAACTGACAGAAAGTCAGGGGGGTCTCCTTATTCGTCTTCCATTTCACAGACCCTTCCCTCTAATAGCCCCTGTCAGCAAATATGGTGGTCATCCTAAGCTTTTTTCCCCCATACATGTTCCACACTGCATCATCTTTCACATGAAAAGATCCTATAGGAATCTCAATATTGTGAACAAGTAACTCCCATTTTCTAAGTGCTAACTCTGAACCAGGCACCATGTTAAGCACTAGGATACATAAATTACATTTAAGTCTTACAAGAGCATCACCCATAAAACTGAGGTTCGGAGAGCTGAAATAACTTGACCAAGGTAGTAATGAAGAGTATAGATCTAAAACTAAGTCACTATGATCCGAAACCTTATTAATTGCTCTTAATTATTATGTACATTGTACAAAAAATTTCTCTCTTCCCATGCATCCCTGGGTAGACCTTTAGAACAAATGATTTAAAATAATAATAATTAAAAAAACAATGATTGGGCCAACTACTCTCCAGAAAGAACTTTCATTCATGAGACTTTCACAAGTCACCAAAGTGACTGCTCCCTATCCCATACTGAGCAACCTGGCATATCCAGTTACAAACTTTTTGCTAGGCAGCACTACCTATAAAGCTTAACAGTCAATTTAATAAGAGGGTAAACCTACACTGAAGGAAAATAACCAGTTTCCATCTCAGTGCAGAAATGCCTCTTACTTAGACCCAGTATGGTTGAGAATCTGAGGGCTCCTGGGACCAAGGCTACCTTACCCAGAAAGGTGTAAACGTTTCATCAGGAACCACCACTTCCTTCAGTGCAATCCCCAGGTTTGACCTCTGGCCGCATTTTTTTTTTTTTATCCTCACTCAGGACATTTTCCCATTTTTTGTTCAGATAGAGTGGGAGGAGAGAGAGAGAGAGAAACATCGACGTGAAAGGGACACATTGAGTGGTTGCCACCCGCACGACCCAACAAGGGTTGGGGACAAACCACAACCAAGGTACGTGCCCTTAACGGGAACCGAACCCGGGTCTCTCTGGACTGCAGGCCGACGCTCTAACTGCTGAGCCAAACTGGCCAGGGGGAGGATATATATTTTTAAACAGATCTGAGAGAGAGGAAGGGAGAGAGACAGACAAAAACATCGATGTGATAAACATCGATTGGTTGCTTCCCACACATGCCCCAACTGGGGATTAAACCTCCAACCTAGGTATGTGCCCTAACCAGGAATCAAACCCATCACCTTTTGGTATATGGAATGACACTCCAACCAAGTGAGCCCCCTACCAGGCCCCTGCCCTCCCTTCTAACATCTTACAGTTCCACACGTCCTAACATGGGTTTATGTTCCTAGGGCAGAGTAAGCAAAAAGCATCACTGGTGGCTGCAGGTACTTGTAAATGATAGAGGTTTACACTATGGTCATCAAGGCCAGGGACTCTGATTCCTGGGTTAGAAGCTAATACTCCATTGAGAACCAGAGCCTGGCAAAGTTAAAGTAGCGTTGCCTGGTAATAAGAGTAGGGACTTCAATAGCAGGCAGATCTGAATTTCAGCCCTAACTGTGAGGCCCTGGACAAGTCACCTCACATACTGGGCCTCAGTTTGTTCTTCTGTTAAATGGGTTGATGTAAAGCTTAAATGAGACCATGCATACAAAACCCTTTACATATAATTCTTTGCATATAATAATCATTCAACAAGTGTTCGTTGCTGTTACTATTGAGGGTAATTTGGAGAAGAGACCCTCAATTTCTATCAAGATCCTTGACTCAAAAATCCTACCCCTAAGAATGCTAAGGAAATGTCATAATTCAAATAGGGAAAAAAATGTGCCAAGATGGTCATTATATCATTATTTACAACAGCAAAATCTGGAAGAACTAAAAGGTCCTTCAATGTGAAAACCTAAATTATAATGCATCAATATTCGATAAATAAATAGTACCTTTTAAAAATAGTAAAGAGGACAGATACTACAGAGTATCATGGAAAATACTGTCAAAATTAAAATTTAAAGCAGCAAACAGAATGGTGACAACTACATAAAATACACACACACACATACACAAAACACACAGATAAAAAAAAAAGGTAGGGAGCCCAGTCAGTGTGGTTCAGTGGATTGAGCATCACCCCATTGACTGAGGTCTTAGTTTGATTCCCCATCAGGGCACATGCCCAGGTTCAGGGCTCAATCCCCAGTAGGGGGCATGCAGGATGCAGTCAATTGATTTTCTCTCTCACACTGATGTTTCTCTCTCTCTCTCCCTTCTTTTCTCTCTAAAAAAAATCAATAAAAACATATATACATATGTTTTATCCTCGTCCAAAGACATTTTTGCATTTATCTTCAGATAGAGCGGGAGGGAATAAAGGAGGGAGAGAGAGAGAAACACCAACTGGTTGCCATCCACACGACCCCAACTGGGGCTGAGGTCAAACTGCAACCGAGGTACATGCCCTTAGTGGGAACTGAAATCGGGTTTCTCTGGTCCACAGATCGACGCTCTAACTGCTGAGCCAAACTGGCCAGGGCTAAAAACATATTTTTTAAAAACTGGGGAAATGAAAATATACTTGTGGGATTCTGGGAGTATAAGTTAAATATTTTGCTTTATTTTATTTATTTATTTATTTATTTATTTATTTATTTTTTAGAGAGAGAGAGAGAAACATTGACCGGCTGCCTCCTCATGCCCCCTACTGGGAATCAAGTCCACAACTGGGGCATGTGCCCTGACCAGGAATTGAACTGGGACCTCAGTCCATGAGACGACACAATCCACTGAGCCACACCAGCCAGGCCTTTAAAATTTTTTTTAATATGACTGGCCGGTGTGGCTCAGTGACTGAGTGTCAATCCATGCACCAAGAGGTCGCTCGTTTGATTCCTAGTCAGGGCACATGCCCAGGTTGTAGGCCAAATCCTTAGCGGGGAGTATGCTGGAGGTGGCCAATCGATGTTCTCTCTCATCAATGTTTCTATCTTTCTCCCTCTCCCTTCCTCTCTCTCTCAAATCAATAAAGAAAAAAAATTTAAAAATAAAAATTTTTGAGAAACATCTGTAACAAAAACAAATAAAAAAAAACACCACCACCAAAAGAACAGGTTTCAAAAAAAAAAAAAATTAAGACTAATGCCTGATTAAATATGCAAAATTTTTGAATGAGTAATTCTATTTCTAAGAATTTACCCTAGTAAAATAGTCATGAACCTGCTAAAAAATCTACCTATCAGCTCATCATAATATTTTTAAATTAGGGTGAAAAAAAAAAGGAAACAGCTAAATGTTCAACAATGGATTAAATAATTATGTAAAGTCCATACATTGGAACACTAAACAACCACATAAAATATTAATGACATGTAAAATCTCAAGATATATCATTAAAAATCTCCCCCTCTCTGAGAAACTCCATAAAGGCAAGATCTTTGCTATGTTCACTGATATATCATCAATGCCTAGAATGATATTCAGCACACCAAAGGTACTTATTTTAAAATGAGTGAAATTTTAAAAGACTATTACAGCCCTGGCCGGTTTTGCTCAGCGGTTAGAGCGTCAGCCTGTGGTCCAGAGAGACCCGGGTTCAGTTCCCGTGAAGGGCATGTACCTCAGTTGCAGTTTGTCCCTGGCCCTGGTTGGGTTGTGCAGGTGGCAGCCACTCGATGTGTCCCTTTCACGTCAATCTTTCTCTCTCTCCCTCCCACTCTATCTGAACAAAAAATAGAAAAATGTCCTCGGGTGAGGATAAAAAAAAAAGAGATTACAAAACAGGAACCAAATATTAAAATATATATGTGTATGTATAAACTCATATCTATAAATAAGACACACTGACATAAAAAGATCTATAAAATTTGTGTGTGTATACATAATTATAGAAAAAGAAAACAGACCAAAATGTTTCTAATGGTCATCTCTGGATGGTGTGATTATAAGTGATTTTTTTCTCTTTTGCTTTCTGTATTTTACAAATTTTCCTTTGCTTTTATAATCAAGGAGGAAAAAGTACAGGGCCAAGAGAGAAACTTCTAAAGCCATGTGCTCATTTCTAGAAGCTTCTCCTAGAATTTTCCTCACCCCTCTGTTTTCCGGCTCTGGCCTCTGACCTTGAGGACGGGGAGGGGTCTTCTCTCTGAAATAGAAAGGTGTAAATAGGTCTATTACATAATGCTTTGAGCTGCTCCCAAGTGAAGTGGGAGTTCATCACCAGGGCCACGCCCCTTTTCCTGCCCAGCACATGAACCGATGCCAAAATAACCCAAACACTAACTCTCTCTCTTTGTTCTACTTGCAACTATTCCCTACTTATGGAAAACCAAGGAGAAAATCAGCTTGTTTATAAGATGCTCATCAGATTGCACTGAGCCTACTCCTTTCATAGACAGCATGACCCAGATTGGTTAAGAATGCCAGCCAGACACTTCTTCCTGGACCTGTGGTGATATAGGGTTCATGGAAATAAAAAATCCCAAATCCAAACAAACAGAGGGTGGCCTGTCAGAAGAGATTCATGGTCTCTCTGATCTGCAACTATTAACTTCAGCTTTACCACCTACTACTACTCTACACTATTCTTTTTGCCTCTGGATCCTAATCTCTTCCATCACTTGTCCCACAAATACTGGAATAAGGACCTGTTACCCATCAAACACAAGGCAGGTTGTTACCAATAAATATTAAGACTGATGACAGACCCTACTCTTGAGGTGTTCATGGTTTAAAGGGGGCTACAACCAATCACAGTACAGTATGGGAAGGGACTTCTTTAATAGAGGTATGAACTAAATGGGGTGGGAGCATGGGTGAGAGCAACTAATGTGGGAAACGAGGGCCATTTCAAGGAGGAGATAACTTTAGGGCTGCTCATTAAAAAAGGACAGAAGTTTGAAGAGGAGGAGGGGTTGAGCAGAATTGGGGAGGGCAGAAGAGGCAAAGGGAAAACAAATACAAAAGCTCATGCCCTGGCCGGTTTGGCTCAGCGGTTAGAGCGTCGGCCTGCGGTCCTGAGAGACCCGGGTTCAGTTCCCGCTAAGGGCATGTACCTCGGTTGCAGTTTGTCCCCGGCCCTGGTCGGTTGTGCGGGTGGCAGCCACTCGATGTGTTCCTTTCACGTCGATGTTTCTCTCTCTCTCTCTCTGTTCCTCTCTCTCCCTTCCACTCTACCTGAACAAAAATTGGAAAACTGTCCTCGGGTGAGGATAAAAAAAAAAAAAAAAAAAAAAAAAAAGCTCATGAATGTGAGAGGGTAAGAACTTTTAAGAGAAATCTAATGTGTCCGGGCACTGAGTATGCTGGAGTGCGTGGGAGAAGGAAAGAGACACTGCTGGGGAGCTCAGGGGGTGCGGCAGGGTGTGTGTGTGTCTGTGATTTCTCAAATTTTTACAGTATTTCCTCAAAAACTTTGTATTCCAAAGGACTCTCAGTACTTGTGTCTAGAGAATGCCAGACCTACCTACATCTTCTTTTGCAGAAATTTCAACTCCACAAGCCTTCTAGACCCTGTCCCTTCCTCTCTCACCATATTTTATATATCACTGCTATAGCAACCCATCTCCTTGCAAATTCCTGCTGGGCACCTTACTTCCCAGGCTGCTCCTTTACAGCACTTTGCACACTTGCAATTATAATATCTTGTACACTAAGCACATTGCCTGCCCCTAACAGACGCTGTATTATTGCTCAGCAAGTGGTAACCTGGCTCCCTTCCCCTCCCAGCTGCCTCAGAACTGAGGGACTGCAAGCACTAAGTAAAGAGAGGAGTGAGACGGTGCTGAATGGGAGTAAATTCATGTCCAAAGGGGAAGAACGGGTTTGACAGATGCTCCAAGGCCTCACCTGGGGTCCTGCTGCCCAGTGCTGCCCCTGCCATAGAGCGGGATGACCTTGTCTCGGCTGATCCCAGCTTTGCAAACTGGACACACCTGTCTGTTAGGTCTGGTCTCCAACCACTGCAAGCAGGAGAGAAGAATGCATAAATGGTGCAAGCCCACCAGAGTGGTCAGTCACAGCCAGCAGGAAAACAACGTGAACCAAGAGGCCTCAAATTGGAAACACCAGCACCAGCATGGAACACCTCAAGGAACCTGACTCTGACTCCACTTCCTGTCACTCAATAAATATTTACTAGTGATGAAATTTTAAAAAAGCCTTTAGCCCTGGCCAGTTTGGTTCAGCGGTTAGAGCGTTGGCCTGCGGATCAATGAGTCCCAGGTTCAATTCCAGTCAAGGGCATGTGCCTCGGTTGTGGTTCGTCCCTGGCCCTGGTGGGGTCGTGCAGGAGGCAACCAGTCAATGTGGCTCTATCACATTGATGTTTCTCTCTGTCTCTCTCTCTCTCTCCCTCCCTCTCACTCTGTCTGATGATAAATAGAAAAATATCCTCAGGTGAGGAATAAAAAATTTTAAAATGCCTTTAGCCCTGGCCGGTTTGGCTCAGCGGTTAGAGCGTCGGGCTGCGGTCTGGAGAGACCCGGGTTCGGTTCCCGCTAAGGGCATGTACCTCGGTTGCAGTTTGTCCCCGGCTCTGGTCAGTCGTGCGGGTGGCAGCCACTCGATGTGTCCCTTCATGTCGATGTTTCTCTCTCTCTCTGTTCCTCTCTCCCCCTCCTACTCTACCTGAACAAAAAATGGAAAAATGTCCTCGGGTAAGGATAAAAAATAAATAAACAAATAAATAAAAATAAAATGCCTTTAAATACCATCATACTTAAACAAGCTTCTTCAAGCTTCTTTCTCTCTAGGGGTTCCCAGCAATATGGCAGGAAGGAACTGTAAGTCGGAGCTATGTCAGGGCATCTGACAGACACAGCCTCAGTTTAGGCTGCAGGTAGGTATAATGAATTTTAAATATCCACCTTCACCAACAGATCAACTGTATTACCCCTGGCAGTCAGATATTTCTTTCTATGATTTCTTGTTTTTACAGTATTTCCTCAAAAACTTTGTATTCCACACATCAGCATCTGGATATAAGATGATCATTTTCTGGTGATTTACGATGTGCTAAAGGATAGATTTTGCTCATTATCTAAATTTACTTAGTGTTTTTTATGCATTTTCACATTCAATTATTTTTTTCAATATGAAGAACACCAGAATCCTGTTTTGGGTTTCCCAGGCCCTTGCACTGGTTATATTAAAAACACTGTGTTTATTTAATTTTCTTTTTTTTATAATTATTTGAGTTGCTGTTAATCCTCACCTGAGGAAATTTTTCCATTGCTTTTTAGAGGGAGAAGGGGGAGAGAAACATCGATTGTTTGCCTCCCGCCCTACTCCAACTGGGGCCAGGGATTGAACCTGCAACCCAGGCACATGCCCTTGACTGGGAATTGAACCCGTGTCCCCTTGGTCCAAGAGCCGATGCTCTAACAGCTAACCCAAAGTGGCCAGGGCTATTTAACTTTCTTTTTTTTTTTTTTTATCCTCACCGAGGATATTTTTCCATTTTTTTGTACAGATAGAGTGGGAGGGAGAGAGAGGAAGGGAGAGAGAGAGAGAAACATCGTTGTGAAGGGACACATCGAGTGGCTGCCACCCGCACAACCAACCAGGGCCAGGGACAAACTGCAACCAAAGTACGTGCCCTTAGCGGGAACCGAACCCGGGTCTCTCTGGACCGCAGGCCGACGCTCTAACCGCTGAGCCAAACTGGCCAGGGCTTAACTTTCTTAAGAACAAAATAAAAATGATAAAATCATGTTACCTATAGTGTTGTTGTTTTTGTAGACATTATTTAATATATATAAATATATATATATTTATACACTCAACATTTATCTTAGAATAGAAATTACATTTTAGATACAATGATATAAAGTTTATTATATAAATGTGAATCTAGGAGTTCAGGGCCAAAGAATAGGCAATGTTTAAGGATTTTATATCTTATTTCCTTTCTCTTACTGTCAAAAGCCCCAAACTTATGTATATTGTGTTCTTTATAAGCTTATAGCAGACATGTTTCACCAGATTCCACTGGGATCAGAATGCACAACCCTGAACTTAGCAGAATTAAGTTTCCTCTACTTTCTCCCACCCAGACTCTGAAGCTCTGGGGGTCCGGAACTTCTCTCCTCCACCCCACTCCCCATTTGTAAACCACTTACTAGGTGGGGCTCTACTGACAACAACCATGGAGACAGCCAGTTTGAAGTGCTTACTCAGACCAGTTGTGAATGCCAGGCCCTGCTCTGTCTCATACTCACTAACTGGTTTTCATAATAATCTAAAGCGGGGAAAACAGAGTTTCTTCCTCTCACAAAAGCTCTGTTGAGACCAAAAATGTTTCACCCTTCCTTTTTTCAGATCTTTAAGGGTAGGGGGAATTGTTGATATGATAGGAAGTACTTTCTAGAGGCACAATCTCAAAATAAATAACTACCATGCTATCAAATCCAACCCAATTATCAAATGAGGAACTGAGACCTAGAGGTCACAAAGGCCACTGGTAGCAGAATCAGGACTATCCTGGGTACCACACTGACCCCTTATTTCAAGTGCCTGTCAGTGGGCAGGTATATAATGGGGGTTCGGGGGAAGCAAGCAAATGAGCCCACAAACAGGGGAGATTGCAGTTTCTGACAGTAGTCTCTTGGGACTAGGCGTCTTGTGCAACCATAGCTGATGAAAGACAAAGTAAAATGAAATGCATCTTACCTGATGTAAACACGGCCAACTGTCAAGAGTCCCCAGGGCAACCAGTCATCAAGGAGAAAAGAGAAAGGGGGAAAGGAAAATATAATACTTTCATTAGCAGACACATCAAGGCAGGAGCAGAAAAATTTGAATAATGGGAAAATTGGATGGAAGTATGGAACATTGCCACCTCACTAAGCAGGGAATCACTGGTGCAGGAAATTAGAAAAGACTGGGCCAAAAACACAGAAAAAATGAAGCAATGGAGGCAAGATGCCAATCTCCACTCCTGGGATCCCACTACTGTGAAGACCCCCAGGTGCCAGACCATCCCAGACCTAACCTCTCTACAAGTCAAACTTAGGGATTTTGACCTCTAAAGGAATCCAATAAAAGATAAGGACCCCCAGCTCTGGCTGGTTTGGTTCAGTGGGTTGGGGTGTTGTACTGTACACTGAATGGTTGCGGGTTTAATTCCCAGTAAGGGCACATACCTAGGTTGCGGGTTCAATCCCTGGTCAGAGAGTACAGGAGGTAACCGATCAATGTTTCTCTCTTACATGGATGCTTATCTCTCTCTTTCCCTTTTTCTCTCAATCTAAAAAAATCCCTGGGTGAGGATTAAAAAACAAAAAAGCTAAGGATCTTGTGTAGAAAAATTCATAGGGACAATTCTCACGCTCTCATTCATATACGCATGCACAAACGTAATATATTGGACTAGATTTCAGTGGATTCATAGCCTCCTTGGACTCAAAAGGAATCTGTAGATCTAGATCCAGTTTAATGAAATCTTCAGGCTGTCCTCAGCCTTGAGAGCTTGGCTGGCAGTAAGTAGCTTCCAAGTTCAGGTCTACTGTTAAAAACATTTTTAAGCCCTGGCTGGTTGGGCTCAGTGGTTAGAGTGTCGGCCCACAGACCAATGAGTCTCAGGTTCGATTCCAGTCAAGGGCACGTACCTCGGTTATGGTTCATCCAAGGCCCTGGTTGGGGTCATGTGGGAGGCGGCCAGTTGATGTCTCTCTCTCAAATTGATGTTTCTCTCTCCCTCCCTCCCTCCCTCCCTCCCACTCTATCTGAAGATAAATAAGAGGATTAAAAAAAAAAAAAAACTTTATAAAAAAATGACAGCACAACAACATTTTTAAGTGAAGGACAGGGCTGCTGCCTTTCAGCTTAGTGAGATACACCACATAGGCTGCCCAATCTCTTCAGGAAACCAAGCTCAGAAATATTAAATGACTTGTCTATAGCACCAGGACTAAAAAATTAATTTCCTGACTCCCAGTTTACTGTCTCTTCTATTGCCCAGCACTGGGTGCAAAAAATGACACTTACAGAATTGAAGGAAAAGTCATTCTAACTCCAGATTTTTAACTTTTCTTTCTTGATTCATTCATTCAAGTAAAAAATATCAACTGCACACCTTCTACATGCCAGGATAGTGGAAAATGTGGACGTGGTTTCTGTCCCTCAAATAACATGTCTCCTCTGTGAGTAAAATTAAGACTCAGAGGATAATTACTTTCCCAATTCCTGAACCACAATTTAGCCTCACAATCCAGATACACAATCTCCCTGTAAAAAATGGACACCTGATATCTGACTCCAACATTAACCTTGCAACACCGCTCTAAACTGAGCCTGAGCACCCTAAATCATGGCAGATCTTCAATGGCAATTTCCCTCAGTGGAAAATTAAGATTATAATAATTGTGATGATTACTACTATTTATAAAGCAACTATGTAATAGTCTGTGTCTGAATAGCTTTGTTTTGTTTTTATTTTTACTTTTTCTTTATTGATTTTAGAAAAGCGGAAGGGAGGAGGGGAGAGAGAGAGAAACGATGATGAGAAAGAACATCGACTGGCTGCCTCCTGCATGCCCCCAACTGGGGGATCGGGCCCAAAACCTGGGCATGTGCCCTGACCGGGAATCAAACTGGTGACCTCTTTGTGCATGGGTTGATGATCAACCACTGAGCCACAGCGGCCGGGCAGCTGAATAGCTTTGTATTTGTTAACGTCACTGGATGGTCACATTAATCTTTGAGGATTATCTCCATTTTACAGGTAAGAAAACTGAGGTGAAGAGAGGCTAAAACAGATTTTCCCAGAGACAAACCACTTCGATTAGAAGAATCTGTTCCATTTTAGTCTGTGTTCTTTCCTTTGATACCCTGACTTAATTCTTAATTTTGTCACTCATTTTAAGTTTTGGTTTTATGATACATCAATCATAAAAGTGGAGTATCTCCAAATTCTAGGAGAAAACTGATGACAACAGTTTCTGCATAAAACTTAATAATTAGGGCAAGAGCCTCTAAAACAAAAATCTCTCTGCATTGGCTGGTTTGGCTCAGTGGTTAGTCTCAGCCCGTGGACCAAAGAGTCTCAGGTTCGATTCCGGTCAAGGGCGGTTGCGGTTTGATCCACAGCCCTTGTCCGGGTCGCACGGGAGGCAACCAATCAATGTGTCCCTCTCTTTCTCTCTCTCTCTCTCCCTCCCTCCTTCTCACTCTATCTGGAAATCAATGGAAACATATTCTTGGGTGAGGATTTTTAAAAAAAATCTCTGCCTCACTCTATCCACTCACCAATTAATTTATCATTTTCATTGTTGCCAACTTAAACTCCCTTAAATATCGCTTAAATGATCCTTTCTTCACACCACTTACCTGCTCAAAAATATCCAATAGCTCTACGTCTACTCAATCAAATCTGGGTTCAATAATCTGGCCAAACCCTCCCTTAACCATTCTAACACTCTTCAGTCCATAGCATCTATCCAGGGTGCTATCTGAGGTATAGAGTAGCCTCAGGGTCTCAGATGAATCCAACAGTGTATACACCTGTCCCTAAAAATGTGCTGCCTTGGAGAGCCACACTCTTTTGCCTTACCTGGCATTCTCACCCTTATATTACTCCAATTCACCCTTCCAGGTCCAGCTCAAAACCAAAAGAAAAAAATAAGATCTCAGATTCTCAGAGCCAAGAGAAGCTTCTGTAACCATCAAGGCTGAAATGGACACTGACTCTGCCACTTCATTTTGATAAACTATGTAAAATACGGTAACAATTATTACGATCATAGCTAACATAATCTTTACCATGTGCCATGTGTTCTTCTAAGCCTTTCACATATTTCAAGTCATTTAACGTAAGGCAGCCTGGCTCCACAGTCCTTGCTCAGAACCACTGTACTATACTGCCTCTTGGCTAGCACAGCAAGTAGCAAGTATTAAGTAGTAACTACTCACTAAATGATGAGTGTTATTACTTTAGAGATAGGAATACAGAGCCCAGGATGGGGACATGATTTCCCCAAGGTCACTCAGCTTATCAGCAGCAGAGCTAGGTCACCTGCCTCTCGTCCTGAGTGTATCAGGACTCAGAGTGTGTGGGAAACCTTCTCCAAAGCTGCTCAGGGCTACAAGTTTTCCAAACCTAGCAGTGTGTCCTCTGGAGCGATGGCAAGGGTACTGACCAGAAGAGGTGGCCACACAGGCTGATGACAGCATCCTTGGCTGTATCCAGGCAAATGTTGCACTCGAAGGTACTGTCCTGCCCTCCGCTTTCGCCAGTACCATTGCTGCTGCCGCTGGGTCCTCCTGCACTGGAGTTCTCAGGGGATGCAGAGGCCGACGGCCCCTTGCTTGCCATCCTTGGCTGTCAATAAACTCTTGAGTGAAGATCCTCCCCAGGAAAATCCTAAAAGACAGCAAGTCCTTAACTGCCCATTTCTGCAGCTCACTCCCCTGGCCTCCAGGCCAATTCTCCCATCTTCTCTCAGCTCCAGACATTCAGATTATGACTGAACCCCTGAGTAGACTTCCCAGGAGCTGCAGAGGATGATAATCATGGGGCACTACTGAGGCAGCAATGACTCAGAAACTTCCAGTGAACATGGCCCAGAATTTACCACACAAATACACAAACTGTACCAATACAGAACAGCCTCCAGATGACTCTTCAAGGAACTGGGTCTCAATGTCCTTACATTCTCCCAGGATAACCACCCCAGGTGATAAATACACGCTCAATCAAATTGAACATTCCCAGGCTGTCCCCTAACTTTGGATAGCCTCTATATATTGGCAGATGAATCTGCTCAGGCCAGAAAGATTGGGACTTGTATATGTCAAAATATAAAGAAAACCCTGTAACTCTGAAAGGTTAGGAAGCTAGCTAGGAATGACCAGAAAGGTCATCTGGTCCAGTGTTTTCCACACTGCAATCTTAGCATTCCCCCTTCCATGTACCTTATTTTATTTAAATCTATCAACTTTTTAGTCTCAATATTTTTAAAGAGGAGGCTTACTGCACTGCTGAAAATAGAAAACCAGTATTACTTACCATACGTGATAAAAAATATATAAATATAGTGAAGGAAAATATTTTATCCTCCTACTACCCGAAACCGGAACACTCATACCATGCTTTAGGTAAACCCAGTCCAATCTCTAGAAAACTGCAGCTTGAGACTTCTCAGCTAGCTGACTAATGTGGAGCCGAGACTGGGACGCATGACACCCCGTTTTTACTCAAACCACTGTACCACCACAGATCATGCTGGTCACCAAATGCTGGGAGAAAGAGACCAATGTTCACTACCTCTTCCAAATCACAGAACTTCTAGGAGTTGAACCAGGAGGAGGATAAGACCACCACCAAAGGATACTCAGAAATTCTGGGTGCAGATTAAAAATCTGTAAAGAACCCGATCTGGCTACACTTACCATCTCAGAAATTCCAAGTAGGAAATGCTAGCTGGCTAGCACAGTCAAAGAACCAGTAGATAGGTGGTTTTGGGAACCTCCCTTCTCCTCTCTGGGCTACAGTTTTCTCATCTGTAAACTTAACTACACGGTCTCTAGGTGCCCCTTTCCAGCTCTGAAAGTGTGCTGCTAAAGGTCATCTTACCCTCTCTCTCCAAAGTAGACCGCCCCGCCACAAGACTGGGACTCACCACTGGAGCACCAGAAGACCACCCTGATTTCAGTTTCCAAAGTACGAGAAGGCAAGGACCAAAGATCCACAGTCCTCTCAGACCAAGAAGCCTTCCTACACACCAACTCAGAACTCTGGACTCATGAGCATCCCTCACCACGACAGCAGCTCAGTGACTTAAGCAGGGAGAGAAAACCAGCTCACTGCCAATTTTTCACTCAGTTACATCATTTTACGTTATGTCCCAGAAGGGCAGCTTAGCTGGCTGCCAGCAGCACCAGTGCCTTGCTGCCCATGGCTCCAAGACCTTCTCCAGGATCCAATGCTTCCTCCTTTCCATACACAGGATAAAACCTGCTTGTGAGGGCCACATTATGACCTTTCTTTGTCATTCTAGCTGAAGTATCTGACACAAACGTTTCGTTAAAAAAACAAAACAAACGAACAAAAAAACTTTTAAAATGAAGGATTATGTGTATACAGATGTGAAAAGACAACCATAAAGTCAGGTTTATGGATCAATCTTAAATGACAGTCTTGTGATGTGATGGAATAGGAAGCACACAGCTCCAACAATGACCCATTTTTGTTTCAAAAATGAAACATAGACTTTAATTGAGTCTCTAAATGAATTACCTATTTACAGAAAATATGGGGCATAGATGAATGTGTTAAACAACTCTAGGAGGATGCAACCAGCAAATCCAGAATGTAAGAATTTTTATAGGACAAATAACCCAAGTTCTCCAGAAAATAAATAGCATGGGGGTGTGTGTGTGGAATTATAGATAGAGACTAGAGACATACCAACTGCTAGCAGTGTGAGGAGCGCACTGGAACCAAGTTAAATAAACCAACTGTAAATAGATGTTTGTGAGAAAACTGAAAAAAATTAGATATAACCTGGATATTAGTTGATATGAGAAACTGTTAATTTTGTTGCATAGTATTGTGTAATATTTTTGAAAAATTCTCATCTTCTACAAATACATACTTAAGTATTAATGAAGAAATGATAAGATGTTTCGGATTTGCTTTAAAACACTCCAGGAGGAAAGTAAAAGTGGAGAAAAATGATGAAATAAGAACAGTTAAGTTGATAGTTGTTGGAACTAGATGAAAAATGGGGATTCGCTGTATTATTTTATGTATTTACTTATTTAAAATGTTTGTATTCATTTAGAGAGAGAGAAACATTGATGAGAGAGAAACATCAACAGGCCACCTCCTACACCCCCCCCCATCCCCAGGCATGTGCCATGACCAGGAATCAAACCAGCGACCTCTTGGTGCACAGGGCAATGTTCAACCAACTGAGCCATAATGACCAGAGCCGTATTAGTTTATGTCTGTGTATGCGTGTAAAATTTCCTAATAAAAAGTATTGCCTTGACCGGTTTTGCTCAGCGGTTAGAGCGTCGGCCTGCGGTCCAGAGAGACCTGGGTTCGGTTACCGCTGGAGGCACGTACCTCAGTTGCAGTTTGTCCCTGGCCTGGTTGGGTTGTGCAGGTGGCAACCACATGATGTGTCCCTTTTGTGTCAATGTTTCTCTCTCTCTCTCTCCCTCCCACTCTCTCTGAACAAAAAAATGGAAAAAAATGTCCTCGGGTAAGGATAAAAAAAAATTTTTTTTTAAAAAGATCAGATTGCGCCTTGGCCAGTTTGGTTCAGCTGTTAGAGCGTTGGTCCCTGGACCAGAGAGTCCCAGGTTTGGTTCCCACTAAGGGCACATACCTCGTTGCAGTTTGTCTCCGGCCCAGGTTGGGGTTTGTGGGTGGCAACCACTAGATGTGTCTCTCTCACGTCAATGTTTCTCTCTCCCCCTCCCGCTCTATCTGAAGATAAATGAAAAAATGTCCTTGGGTAAGGATTAAAAAAATTAATAATAAAAAGATCAGATTGCGCCCTGGCCGGTTTGGCTCAGCGGTTACAGCGTCGGCCTGCGGTCCAGAGAGACCCGGGTTCGGTTCCCGCTAAGGGCATGTACCTCGGTTGCAGTTCGTCCCCGGCCCTGGTTGGTTGTGTGGGTGGCAGCCACTCGATGTGTCCCTTTCACATCAATATTTCTCTCTCTCTCTCTCTCTCTATTCCTCTCTCTCCCTCCCACTCTACCTGAACAAAAAAAAAAAGATCAGATTGCAAAAGTATATGTATGAATTGATAAAAACAAAGTATATAAATGAGTGTGTGTGTGTATGTACACACACATGCAAAGAAAATGTCTAGAAAGCACACACTAAGCTATAAACAATTATTTCTGGGATTATGAGAGCTGAGGAACTTTGAATTTTATATTATCCTCTTTTAATGTTTTATGACAAGTAGATATTACTTTCACAATACCATTCAAAAGAAAAATAAAATTGTAGCCCTGGCCAGGTGGCTCAGTTTGTTGGAGCATCATCCAGTACACCAAAAGGTTATGGGTTCAATTCCTGGTCAGGATACATAATACCTAGGTTGAAGGTTTGATCCCCAGTCGGGGCACATATGGAAGGCAACCGATGTATGTTTCTTTCACGTTGATGTTTCTCTCTCTCTCCATCCTTCCCTTCCCCTCTCTCTCAAATAAACAAACATATCTGGTTAGAGCATCAACCTGCAGTCCAGAGAGACCAGGGTTTGGTTCCTGCTAAGGGCGTGTGCCTCGGTTGCAGTTTGTCCTCAGCCCTGGCTGGGTGGTGTGGGTGGTGGCCACTCAATGTGTCCCTTTCTCATCGATGTTTCTCCTTCTCTATCTCCCTCCCACTCTATCTGAACAAAAAATGGAAAAGTGTCCTCAGGTGAGGATAAAAAGCAAAACAAAACATATCTGTGGGTGAGGATAATTTTTTTTTAAAAAATGATAAAATGTGAGTATAATATCACATTTGTTATAACAATAATGAATATATTAGTAAATGTCTTTTTTATGCTTTTTTCTTTTTTCCTCAATTCCTCCATCCTTCACCTCCTAACAGCTGACAGCCTGCTCTCTGAGTATGTTTCTATTTTGCATGTTAGTTCAGTTTGTTCATTAGATTCCACATATGAGTGAAATCAAAGTAAATGTCTTATAAATGTTGAAAAACATACCAATACTGTTATCAATGATTACTTGGGGGTTTAGAGGTAGTGACTTACACTTATATTCCCCCATTTATAAAACTGACATTCTTATATGTATTAATTTTGAAATCAGACAAAAGAGTTCATGTTTTTAAAATGTCCCCAAATTTCAGTTTTCCCCAATCCTGAAAAGCTCTGACTTCAAGTCCTGGCTCCACCATTGACTAGCCAAGTAGCTCAGGACTGATACCTTGATGGCTTCAATAGTTTTTCTCACCTGAAAAGTGAGGGTGTCATGCCTCCTACAAGGCTGCTAAGGTGGCCCCAGGAGATAACACAGTGACTTGAAGAGCCCACCAAGGTGAGAGGGGCTGTTGCTGCTGGGGAGATGCACACACATGCCACTTACCCTGGTTCACTGCCCTCTCCACTCCCTGGATCCAACAAATCTCTGCATGGTGTATACTCCTACACATAGGCATTAGGGGACAATCAGGGTTAAGGTAGGTATCAAGTGGGAATAACCAGGGGACAGTAAACAAGTCAGATCAGAATTTGAAGGAAGTAGCAGTCTTGCAGCAGGCCAGGCACTGGGATAGTCCTACATGTCTCAACCCTAGGCAACTCACTTCACTCTCATTCTAATTCTTAGTAGACTGACCATGTGGTCCCTACCTAGGTTTTATTTATTTATTTATTTTATCCTCACCCG